TTTAGGGTTTAGGGTTTAGGGTTTAGGGCGTGGTCTGCCAGGACCTTACACGACCCTTTCGGGCCTAAACCCTATCCTAACCACTGCGCCCTCAATGTAGCAAGACTCCCAGCTCTGCATTCATGGCTTGGGGGACTCTGCCCGCGCCAACCCACAAGAAGGTTGCACGCACAAAGGGCACAGTGGGCAAGGTACCCCCCAAAGACGCAAACGCCTGGTTTAGACCTGGAAGCCTATACTAAACCCTGACCCTAAGCCCTAAACCTGGGGTGAGAAGCATTCTGATCTTCACCTTAAGTGCAACCAGGCCACAGGGGGACAGCAGTCAGCTGGGTGGGTCCCTTGTCCACCCGTGTCCAAAACTCTAAGGGTCGATGTGGCCATACAGTATATACTTTGGCCTCAAAAGGCCTTCCTATTCAGTAGCCTTACGGCCCAAGAACATACAACATGGGCACATGGACCCTTTGGGGAAATGTGAATTCGCCCACTGGGCTCAGCCAATAGTTGAACTTTAAACTTTGTTGGGCTTCCTTATTTCGTAGCAATGATAAAGTTGGGATGTTTCCCCTCATGCTAGGGATTCTAATGGGGGGGGTACTACAATCCCGATGAAGGACTGCTAGTACAAGGGGAACATCCCAAGTTAACCTTCTTTTGTCCCTTGGCTAGAAATAAATCAAACCCTAAACCCCAAAATATGGGAGAAGTAAGTGTGAATGAATTAGCCCACCGGGCTCGACATTCCCGCCAACGCCCTCTCGCGACGGATGCACCTCCGCCTCGTGACAAAAAAATGGTTGGGCATCCGAGGACCCCACACCCCAAGAAGGAGCAGCATCCCTGAGCCGGGACAGCCCTAAACCCAAAACTTAACAACCTAGAAACCCTAAACCCTAAACCCTAAACTTAAAACCCTATAAACCCTAAGCCCTCTAGGCCCCAAACCCTCAGGACCTCAGGGCTCTAGCCGTTGGCTGCTGGCCCCGACACATCGGAGGTTGATTGCGACACGTTCGCTCGGGCCGTGATCTCTGTGGTCAATTCTCTTCTGGTCCCTCTTCTGGGCACCGGAAATGGAGGCTGCAGTATGACAGGGTTTTTTGGTCGTTTGGCTTTCAGTGTTTTCAGCTTGCTTTGTAGCACGGTTGTGTGCCAGCTGCCCCCGCCATGGCCATGGAACTTGAGTACCGAAACACCTTCATCGACGTGAAGGAGGAGTCCGAGGACATGGAACTCATGCCCAGCAGGGCGCGGGCACAGAGCGCGCCGCCGGGGCGCGTGCGCCGCAACAGCTTCAGCCTGGAGGCTGCCAGCGAGGAGGACGCCATGCGCAGCTACGTGGGCACTCTCTCCCAGAAGACCGCGGACCTCACGAAGAAGCTCCAGCAGGACGAGACGCCCAGCACAGCGTGCGGCTCCAGCCCCAGCACCATGAGCTCGGATGCACTGGACTTTGCAGACAGCCCTGTTGGCCAAGGGGGCCCGGAGCACGCATCCGTCTTGGCAGAGTTCTTCCCGCTGCTGTCCAGCCAGGGCAGCCTTGCGCACCCGGAGGTGTGCCGGCGCCCCTGCATCTACTTCATCGCGGGGCATTGTGAGAACGGCCGTGGGTGTGCCTACTGCCACATGGAGCACACGGAGAAGACGCCCAAGCTCGACAAGAGGCAGCGCACCATCATCCAAGGCCTTAGCCGGCCACAGTTGCTGGAGCTGGTGATGCACTTCTGCCACATCAAAGCCCAGCAGGCGGGCTTCCTCGAAGAGGCCAGGGAGATTTTGCGGCTACTGGCCCAGGAGTCCGCAGGTGCACGGCCTTTGGCCCAGGTCGTGGCGGACCGCGACCTCCGCAACCTCCACAAGACGCTCATGCGGATGAACTTCTCCAACTTGATCGGCCTGGTGACGCACCAGTCCGCCAACCGAGTGGGGAACGCCACGCCGAGCGCCGCCGACCTCCTGGTCGCGTCCTTGGAGCGACTCCGCCTGCACTTCCTGCCGGCGGCGCGCGCATGAGTCGCAGGGCTGCCATCTTCTTTTCCAATATTCTATCAGTGAAGGGTCCTTCCCATTTAAAGGCGGTGTGAGACATCGCCTTAAGCGGCTATAAGCGTGCGGCAACGCGCTTAAAGCTTGTCGGCAGTCAGGCATTCCGCTGGATCGCCTCACAGTGCTCGACATCCAGTCGGTCTAGATCATGCTAAAACCCGAGGTAGGCCCCTGGGACATTTTATATTTCATTTATTGGGTTTAAGAGGATCGTATCTACGAATATTTTTCAAATGGGCTTTAAGGGCCATCCTAGAACCCTATTCAAGCAGTGACAAGACATTGTAGTTCTAGCGGTCATGGACTCTGACGGCTGCACCTCTTTCTTTGTGGTTTAAATTCGGTTTGCTGCTGATCCTGTGGCGGCTGGGCCCGTAGATCTGTCCTTGCTGCGAGGTCACGGGAGCTGCGGCCGTCACGGCCCTGGACCGTATACTTTTTCATGCGTATCGTCTTGCACGAAAGAGCTCCTTTTGCACCCCATGCAGTATCTAGCCCTTCAAGGTTCAGACAATTCTAGACTATAGCACAATGCAACGGGCCAGGGCCCGTGACCGGTACGGTCGTGCCATGTCGTGCCCATGGTCTGGGGATGCCGGTGCTTTGGGTACTTGATGGTACGTCAGATATCTCTAGCTTTTTAACCATATGCCTCCCGCTGCAGCAGCAACACCTTGCGCAGGGAGCGCGTGCTTTCAATGCACTTGCAATCATGTTGCGTGTAGACGCGCAGCATGTTCAGTTTTTTTCGTGCCAGCCTCGGACCAGCATGGAGAATCACGCCGTATTGTTTCCAGCCTGGCTCGGCCAATGGTCGTGAGGCTGGAAAGACGAGTTTGATCTCGCAGGTGCTGGTACCTAGAGAGCTTCTTTGCCTTTCCTCTACCTTCCAGGATGCACACATGCCTTCAGGCAAACATGACGATCAACGCGCAGCGATGCTTGAGTATACGGGTAAGTATATAGGTACTGCAGAGGCACTGACTAATTACCACGCGAACGGGAGCTCCTTCATCCAGCATGCTCCTCTCAACATCCTTTTGGCTTCAAGGGCTTTTTGCTTGCTTTGTAGAAGTTTTGGGCCAGCAGAAGCAGCAGGTGCTGGTTGTCCCCGCCATGGCCATGGAACTTGAGTACCGAAACACCTTCATCGACGTGAAGGAGGAGTTCGAGGACATGGAACTCATGCCCAGCAGGGCGCGGGCACAGAGCGCGCCGCCGGGGCGCGTGCGCCGCAACAGCTTCAGCCTGGAGGCTGCCAGCGAGGAGGACGCCATGCGCAGCTACGTGGGCACTCTCCCAGAAGACCGCGGACCTCACGAAGAAGCTCCAGCAGGACGAGACGCCCAGCACAGCATGCGGCTCCAGCCCCAGCAGCACCATGAGCTCGGATGCACTGGACTTTGCAGACAGCCCTGTTGGCCAAGGGGGCCCGGAGCACGCATCCGTCTTGGCAGAGTTCTTCCCGCTGCTGTCCAGCCTTGCACACCCGGAGGTGTGCCGGCGCCCCTGCATCTACTTCATCGCGGGGCATTGTGAGAACGGCCGTGGGTGTGCCTACTGCCACATGGAGCACACGGAGAAGACGCCCAAGCTCGACAAGAGGCAGCGCACCATCATCCAAGGCCTTAGCCGGCCACAGTTGCTGGAGCTGGTGATGCACTTCTGCCACATCAAAGCCGAGCAGGCGGGCTTCCTCGAAGAGGCCAGGGAGATTTTGGGGCTGCTGGCCCAGGAGTCCGCAGGTGCACGGCCTTTGGCCCAGGTCGTGGCGGACCGCGACCTCCGCAACCTCCACAAGACACTCATGCGGATGAACTTCTCCAACTTGATCGGCCTGGTGACGCACCAGTCCGCCAACCGGGTGGGGAACGCCACGCCGAGCGCCGACCTCCTGGCCGCGTCCTTGGAGCGACTCCGCCTGCACTTCCTGCCGGCCCGCGCATGAGTCGAAGGGCCTGCCATCCCTTTTAGTTTATAAGTGAACTTTGTGTGGCATTGCGGCGGGCCTTTCCCAGAGGGTAGGTTTCGCCAGGCGTGCTGCAACGTGCAAGCTTGTCGGCACTCAAGCATCCTGACAGATCTTATAAGTCTTATAAGTCTCACTGTATGGCATATCGTGTTACGAGTCGGTCTATATAGATCATGCCAGGTTCCCATGTACACACGATAGTCCTCTTTCTTTTAGCATGGCCACCGACAACTGCACTGCTTTTCTTGCTTCGCTTGCTGCTAATCCTGTAGCGGCTCGGCGTTCATGGTCGGGTCCTTTTTTTGCGTGTGGATCTGTCCTCGCCGTGAGGTCACAGGAGCTGCAGCAGTCACGGCCCTGGACCTCCCATGCATATACAATCTTGCACTACAGCTCATCGCACCCCATGCAGTATAGCCAACCTGTCATGCTTTCCAGACTGTTCTATACTAACAACAAATATTCAACGGGCCAGGGCCCCGTGACCGGTACGGTCGTGCCATGTTGTGCCCATGGTCTGGGGATGCCGGTGCTTTGGGTACCGCATGGTACGCCAGATATTCTTCTGTTGATGTCTCTTGCTTTTCAAGTATGTCTCCCACTGCAGCAGCAACTTGCGCAGGGAGCACGTTCTTTCAACCATGTTGCGTGTAGAAGCGCAGCGGTTTGAATTTGCGCGTCAGCCTCGGACCAACGTCCTTCCGAGAACCCTGTGGAGAATCACGCCGTATTGTTTCCAGCCTGGCTCGGCCAATGGTCGTGAGGCTGGTATGACGAGTTTGATCCCGCAGGTGCTGGCACGCGGAGAACTTCTTGGCTTTCCTCTACCTTCCAGGATGCACACATGCCTGCAGGCAAAAATGAGGATCAGCGCAGTATCTGCAGAGGGGTATGTATATATATATATATAGAGAGAGAGAGAGAGGTACTGCAGAGGCACTGACTAATTACCACGCGAACGGGAGCTCCTTCATCCAGCATGCTCCTCTCAACATCCTTTTGGCTTCAAGGGCTTTTTGCTTGCTTTGTAGAAGTTTTGGGCCAGCAGAAGCAGCAGGTGCTGGTTGTCCCCGCCATGGCCATGGAACTTGAGTACCGAAACACCTTCATCGACGTGAAGGAGGAGTTCGAGGACATGGAACTCATGCCCAGCAGGGCGCGGGCACAGAGCGCGCCGCCGGGGCGCGTGCGCCGCAACAGCTTCAGCCTGGAGGCTGCCAGCGAGGAGGACGCCATGCGCAGCTACGTGGGCACTCTCTCCCAGAAGACCGCGGACCTCACGAAGAAGCTCCAGCAGGACGAGACGCCCAGCACAGCATGCGGCTCCAGCCCCAGCAGCACCATGAGCTCGGATGCACTGGACTTTGCAGACAGCCCTGTTGGCCAAGAGGGCCCGGAGCACGTATCCGTCTTGGCAGAGTTCTTCCCGCTGCTGTCCAGCCAGGGCAGCCTTGCGCACCCGGAGGTGTGCCGGCGCCCCTGCATCTACTTCATCGCGGGGCATTGTGAGAACGGCCGTGGGTGTGCCTACTGCCACATGGAGCACACGGAGAAGACGCCCAAGCTCGACAAGAGGCAGCGCACCATCATCCAAGGCCTTAGCCGGCCACAGTTGCTGGAGCTGGTGATGCACTTCTGCCACATCAAAGCCGAGCAGGCGGGCTTCCTCGAAGAGGCCAGGGAGATTTTGGGGCTACTGGCCCAGGAGTCCGCAGGTGCACGGCCTTTGGGCCAGGTCGTGGCGGACCGCGACCTCCGCAACCTCCACAAGACACTCATGCGGATGAACTTCTCCAACTTGATCGGCCTGGTGACGCACCAGTCCGCCAACCGAGTGGGGAACGCCACGCCGAGCGCCGACCTCCTGGCCGCGTCCTTGGAGCGACTCCGCCTGCACTTCCTGCCGGCCCACGCATGAGTCGAAGGGCCTGCCATCCCTTTTAGTTTATAAGTGAACTTCGAAGTGTGGCATTGCGGCGGACCTTTCCCAGAGGGTAGTGAGGCTTCGCCAGGTGTGCTGCAACGTGCAAGCTGTCGGCATGTATGTATGAAGGCATCCTGACAGATCTTATAAGTCTCACGGTATGATACATCGTAACCAGTCGGTCTAGATCATAGTCCTCTTTCTTGTAGCGGTCATTTCCACCGACAACTGCATTTTTTGTTTCGCTTGCTGCTAATCCTGTGGCGGCTGGGCGGTCATGGTGGATCCATGGCTGCTGTGAGGCCACAGAACTGCGGCAGTCACGGCCCTGGACTTCCCATGCGTATACAATCTTGCACTACAACCCTATGCAGTATAGCCAGCCTTTCATATGGTTTTTCCAGACTATGATTCTGTAGTATATAACAATGCAACGGGCCAGGGCCCGTGACCGGTACGGTCGTACCATGTTGTGCCCATGGTCCGGGGATGCCGGTGCTTTGGGTACTGCATGGTACGCCAGATATTCTTCCGTTGATGTCTCTTGCTTTTCAAGTATGCCTCCCACTGCAGCAGCAACTTGCGCAGGGAGCACGTTCTTTCAACCATGTTGCATGTAGTAGCGCAGCGATTTGAATTTGCGCGTCAGCCTCGGACCAACGTCCTTCCGAGAACCCTGTGGAGAATCATGCCGTATTGTTTCCAGCCTGGCTCGGCCAATGGTCATGAGGCTGGTAAGACGAGTTTGATCCCGCAGGTGCTGGCACGCGGAGAACTTCTTGGCTTTCCTCTATACGTTCCATGGATGCACGCATGCCTTCAGGCAAAAACGACGATCAAAGCAGCATCTGCGCATGAGTAAAGGTTCTGCGTAGCCAGTGACTACCACGCGAACGGGAGCTGCTTCATCCAGCATGCTCCTCTCAACATCCTTTTGGCTTCAAGGGTTGTTTGCTTGCTTTGTAGAAGTTTTGTGCCGGCAGAAGCAGCAGGTGCTGGTTGTCCCCGCCATGGCCATGGAACTTGAGTACCGAAACACCTTCATCGACGTGAAGGAGGAGTTCGAGGACATGGAACTCATGCCCAGCAGGGCGCGGGCACAGAGCGCGCCGCCGGGGCGCGTGCGCCGCAACAGCTTCAGCCTGGAGGCTGCCAGCGAGGAGGATGCCATGCGCAGCTACGTGGGCACTCTCTCCCAGAAGACCGCGGACCTCACGAAGAAGCTCCAGCAGGACGAGACGCCCAGCACAGCATGCGGCTCCAGCCCCAGCAGCACCATGAGCTCGGATGCACTGGACTTTGCAGACAGCCCTGTTGGCCAAGAGGGCCCGGAGCACGTATCCGTCTTGGCAGAGTTCTTCCCGCTGCTGTCCAGCCAGGGCAGCCTTGCGCACCCGGAGGTGTGCCGGCGCCCCTGCATCTACTTCATCGCGGGGCATTGTGAGAACGGCCGTGGGTGTGCCTACTGCCACATGGAGCACACGGAGAAGACGCCCAAGCTCGACAAGAGGCAGCGCACCATCATCCAAGGCCTTAGCCGGCCACAGTTGCTGGAGCTGGTGATGCACTTCTGCCACATCAAAGCCGAGCAGGCGGGCTTCCTCGAAGAGGCCAGGGAGATTTTGGGGCTACTGGCCCAGGAGTCCGCAGGTGCACGGCCTTTGGCCCAGGTCGTGGCGGACCGCGACCTCCGCAACCTCCACAAGACACTCATGCGGATGAACTTCTCCAACTTGATCGGCCTGGTGACGCACCAGTCCGCCAACCGAGTGGGGAACGCCACGCCGAGCGCCGACCTCCTGGCCGCGTCCTTGGAGCGACTCCGCCTGCACTTCCTGCCGGCCCGCGCATGAGTCGAGGGCCTGCAATATTTTTGTTGTGTTTAAATTTAAGTCACGTTTGAAGTGCTACATGCTGGCCGGCCTTTCCCAAGAGGCTAGTGAAGGCTTGGCCAAGTGTGCTGCAACGCGCTCATAAGCTTGTCGGGCATCCCGCCAGGCCTTACCATTGTTTGGGACTGCTCACAGGTACACTTTTTTTTGCTCTCGTTAATTCAGCAGATTCAATGAGTCTATATTCAAGCCAGTTTTTTTAAAAAATGCGGGCAGGCCCGACACCGACCTCAGAGCACTTTTCTTGTATCGCTTGCTGCTGATCCGAATGGCTCTCGTGGCTGAGTGCCGTGGGGATCCATGGGATCGGCGTGCCAGTCACGGCCCTCAACTCCCCCAGCCCACTCCCCAATGCCATGGACTATCTGGAGTCAGTTGGGGTTTTGACGAACATAAGGGGGATCCGCTGATATATCTACATACAGTATATGTATATATATATATATAGGCCCCCCCTCCCCCCAAACATGGTACTTCTACAGCCTTTTGAGGTTTGACTGGCCCAACGTGCCAGGCCCTTGACTGGTAGGTTTTGCCGCCGTGCCCGTGGTCCGGAGATGCCGGTGCCTTGGGTACTTGGCGACATTTTGTTTTTCTTGACGGGTTCCAGGAGTTTATCAACGACGCCTCCCGCTGCAGCAGCAACACGTTATGCGCAGGGAGCCTCGTACTTTCAAGCACGCCGCTTGCGGAGCAACGCGGCAATGTCAGACATCTGCCTCGGGCCCATGACCTATCAAAGGAGACCAAAAGGGACCGTCTAGGGTTTAGGGTTTAGGGTTTAGGGTTTAGAGTTTAGGGTTTGGGGTTTGGGGTTTGGGGCTTGGGGTTTAGGCTTTATATAGGGCGTGGGGTTTGCTAGGCTTTAGGCGCTGATGATGCGAGTCTTGAGCAGCCTCATGCAATGCCGATTCCTGGGAGGAGACAAAAAGTCGAACCCCCAAATAGTACCCCATACTACTATTGGGTCATTCTTGGGAACCTCTAAGGGTATCTACTTTTTGGATCCCCTGAGGGGGGTCTGGGAAACCAGGTCAACATGACTGACGACCTTTAGCTCGGACCCGAAGTTTTTTTGCCTGTCTCCGTTGACAAGAACGTAATACCAAGCGCAGATAAACTTACTGTTGGCTCGCAGGGAATGCGGGAATTAGGGGCCTAGAAATACCCTAAACCCTATAAACCCGAAACCCTACACCATTCCCTACTAACCAACAGGAAGTAAATGATGACGGCGCAGACCCAGAGTTCGTTCTTCACGTTCATCAACCCGTGCCACAATTAGCTACAAATTGAGTCTAGTTCCTAGGATTCCTAGCTTAACCCTAACGGCTGGACCCTAAGTTCTAGGGTTTAGGGTTTAGGGTTTAGGGTTTAGGGTTTAGGGTTCTAAGCCCTAAACCCTACACCCCTGCACCGCCTAGACAAGCTCGGTGAATCCTTCCAGCTTCCCATGGGATCGGTGCTTGGTTCGCCACGGAGATGCGCCCCAGTCGCAACTCTGTTTTTAGGGATTTGAGGGATGTTCAGGTATGTTACGGTTTCGGGTTTAGGTAGGGCTTAGGGATGTTTATAGGGATGTTTAGGGATGCCTATAGGGATGTTGATAGGGATGTTTAGGGATGTTTAGGGCGTGAGGGGTCGATCTTTTTGAGCAGGCTGCAGGGCCGGGGTCGTCAAGGCTTTTTTGGGCCTTCAGACCTTAAGCCTACATAGGGTTGCGGGCCTGTAGGGCTTATAGGGTTTGGGGCTTGAGGGTGTTGGTTTTGGGTATAGGGTTTAGGCTTTAGGGTTTTGGGTTTAGGGTTTTGGGTTTAGGGTAGAAGGTCTCGGATCCAATAGACATAGGGCCTTGGCGCTGCCGCTGCAGGATCGGTTTAGTGTTCAGGGTTTCGGGTTTCGGGTTTAGGGTTTAGGGTTTAGGGTTTAGGGGTGTACGGGGATATTCAACCTCCCTGAAGACGATTAGACCCGAGCCCCTAAATCCCGAAAACCTCAAAGGCCCCAGAGCCCGATTCCAAAAGAAAAGCCTCCAGTAGCTGACCTTGAAGCACCCCATGCACCCTAATCCCTAAACCCTAAACCCTAAACCCTAAACCTTAAACCCTATAAACCCTGAGCCCGAAACCCAAATGCCCAAAATCCACTGAAACCCTGACCCCTGAACTGCAGCCTAGGCTTGTGCTGTCGGTCGTGGTGGCTTCCATCCACCTGGCCATCCGCTCAGTCTCCTAATCCCTAAACCCTAAACCCTCAACCCTAAACCCTAAACCCTAAACCCTAAACCCTAAACCCAAAAGTTCTAAACCCAACTGGCGGAGTTCTTGAAGGATCCCAAAACCCAGAATTGCTTAGTAGCTGAGTAGATAACCTTTAACCTTTTGGTGTTTATGCAGTCCTACCAGAATTCGAAGGTTAAGCTCTTTCGGGCCAGGGTACTCAGCAAATAGGATTGTGGGAGAGTCCTGACATCTTACTCAGGAACCTAGTGTTCTTCGTTCGTAGAATGCTCAGCAGCATCTTTTCTTTGCAAGGGTCTTTTGCCTGACCAGAAGGAAAAACTATATACAGTTTGGGCATTCTCGGTTTTTTTTTGTGTACATGCTATGCCTATGCTGCCACGGTAACCCAAGCTAAGTTGCTGAACCCTAAAGCCTAAAACCCGAAAACCCCAAAATCCTACACCCTGAATCCCTCAAGCTCTAATTTTAGATTCCGGGTTTTAAACCCGGAATCCCTTAAACCCTCAACCCCTAAACCCTAAAACCCTGAAGTTTAACCCTGTTTAAAGTTGGCCGCCCCCCCCCCCCCCCCCCGCCCGCCCCTGCTGCCACCTGAACAGTCGAGGCTGGATTTGTCCCTGGTGAGACGCTCCTGGGGGTTTATGTGGTAATTTGATAGGGAGGAGTTTAGATAAGTTTAAGAGGGGCAGCGATGCCCCGCAATCTTTGTAAACGGCGCACCACGTGGAATTTTCTTACGGCGCCCGGACGATTTGCCAGTATTCAGGATCCCACGCACCCCCAAACAGTCAGGGTGTCCTGAATAACTCAGCCAAATTGACTTTGTAGAGGAGCTAAACCCTAAACCCTAAACGCCACC